CACGGCCCGGCAGTCATCAAGATGGGGCCCCAGTCCCAGCCCCAGTTGTCTATGTTGAATACGAGTCAGCGTATCTCATTCACAGGCATATGCTGCGAGAGGAAATGGCTGGCGTACATTGGGCCTTTCGTACAGGTACCCGGCCCATTTCCGTCTGTCTAACGTAGAAGACATGATCATCGGCGTGCTCCTGTAGCAACCGCCTTCCGGTAATCAGGGCCGGGAGGAAAATAATAAGTAAAGTATTTTCATCTTTCAGCACCCTGGTCACATCGACGCGATGCGAAATAAACATGTTGTCGCACTTCAGGATTCTGACACTGTTGAGGAAGACGATAGCATAAGTGTCCAGGCCCGTGAAGACAAGCTCCGTGGCATCTGACCACGGGTCGTTGAAACGGACCCTGTATGCCCATGTCTTCTCTGCTACCGCTCGGACCGACAGCTCGTTGAGATCCAGAAAAGGGTCAGGTATCCTGCGACATATATAAGAGTCAGAACGAGACGCCGGGAAGGGTAAACATACTGTCCGTTGGCCAACAGGTCCAGGTGAACCTGCGTAGGGACCGTTTTTACGGGAAGCCATCCCATTTGACCAGGCGAGCCATTGACAAACTCGGTAAACTCCCACTTTGAGTCTAGTGGCCATCGTATATGATTCATACTGTCGTGTTCCCGGTGTTCAAAGCCAAGTGGGTATAGTAAAAGGCAGACGATTATTGTTGACCTACAAGAAAAAGCTTTTCGAATAAACAAAAGAGACCGGGATAACTTTGGGTGTGTTTGGTCGGTGGGAAGCAGAACCAGCACGAGCCTTCCGAGAGGGCCAACCCAATAATGGTTGAAAGGGAGGAGGAAGGTGACACCTTTCTCGCCGTCGGACACGCTTGTCCCATTTACGACAACTTCTTACTACCTCTGAATGAAGGGAGATTCGTACACGAAAGCATAACACCAGTTCAGCACACGAAGGCAGAAGCCAGTACGGTCCGCCATGGCAGGAGTAGACGAGGCGAATAAGAAGTAGCGACACCGGACCGGCCCTTCCCGTTATTTTTGCCTTACCCAAACAAATATACACACAAGCGCTGTTGGCTACGCATACTGAATGAATGCTGTTAGTAGGTGACGATGACATACGCACGGACTTGGGCGGGCTACTAGAAAATTAACACTTCGCACTACCTACAGTATTGTATATACGTGAACAGATGAACCAAGATGCTTGTTTTTCCTGGGGATCTGGACGACTCCGCAAGGAATGAGGAGAGTGCGGGGACAGAGTGATTCATTCGGAAGGGGGTTTGTGGAGTTGGAGGATCGGAGCAGGTGCCATCCACAGTCCACTTGAGAGGGACATTGAACGAGAGACCCTGAGAGCTTCGCGCTTGTACCTTCCTCGCCTAGATACTTCAAATATGGAATGACCTGCATGGAACTAAGTTACCTAACCTTTACGACTTTGGTTCGAGAAAATATGTGTACCTGCCTGCCTGCACACATACAGGCACAAAGGAAGGATCGTTCGTCTATGAGACTATGACATGACACCACTTTCTCGGTCACTAAATCTCCGAGCTTCTCCAACGAACCCCTGACAGATCCAGTACACATTCGGCAATCCCAAAGCTCTACTGCGCTAGGTTAAGTCCCCAGATCAAACATGTAAGCCAAGGCGAGAATGCAGTACGTAGGGCATGATCGGCAAAGAAAAGAGGCTGGTAAACAGGGCATTAAGCGAGTGGTGAATACTACCATGGATAGTCCACCGGGGAAGGAGAGGTGCAGGATCCGAGCTTGCTTATGGGTTATATATAAGTTATAACCTGGAGCTGTGATGTTGCGACGCAGGCCACTGATTAAAATTCTGTCAACCATCTTGAAAGCCAAATGCTCAAGATGCCTTCACTGTCGAAGTTGGCGACGCTCTTCATATGCGGGCTCTTGATCGAGCCGGGCGTTTCGGTCGATATCCCAGCGCCTAACTCTGCTTCGAAACCCCTCAGGATCTGGTCAACGAAAGCGGGCAGCGCATACAATGAATATTACATGATTGGCAACGGCAGGCTAGGTGCCTCGGTGCCGGGGACGGCCCAGGCCGAAGTCATACACGTCAACGAGGACTCGCTGTGGTCCGGAGGTGCCCTGTCGAGAGTCAACCCTGACGCGCTCGCCCACATGCCGGAGATGCAATCGCTCATCACCGCCGGCAACCCGGTCGGAGCCAACACGCTCGCCGGGTTCGCCTATGCCGGCACCCCGGTCTCGACGCGGCACTACGACGTCCTGGGCGACCTCACGCTGACGATGAACCACAGCTCCTCGGTGACGGGCTACGAGCGCTGGCTCGACCTCGCCGACGCCACCTCGGGCGTGTACTACTCCGTCGCCGGCACCACGTACACGCGCGAGTACCTCGCGAGCAGCCCGTCCGATGTCATCGCGATCCGGCTAGCGGCCAGCCGAGCCGGCGCGCTCAGCTTCTACATCCACCTGCGGAAGGGAAGCTCGCTGAACCGGTACGAGGACTACTCGGAGAAGGTCGGGTCCGACACCATCGTCATGGGCGGAGGCAGCGCGAGCGACAGCGCCCACACCATCGGCTTCGCTTCCGGCGCACGCGTGACCTCGGCCGACGGCACGGTAAAGACCCTGGGCGACTACATCATCTGCGACGGCGCTACCGAGGCATGGATCTACTTCACGACTTGGACGACGGTCAGGAAATCGGACCCCCGCGCGGCGGTCCTGGCAGATCTCCAAGCGGTACCCAAGCAGAGCTACGCGGCCATCAGACATGCCCACGTCAAGGACCATCAGGGACTGATGTCCCGCGTGGACTTGAACGTCGGCTCTTCGTCGGCGGCGCAGAAGGCTCTGACGACGGAGAACCGCATGGCGAGGCTGGCGAGTCAGTTCGATCCCGAATTGGTCACTCTGAACTTCCAGTTCGGACGCTATCTGCTTATCGCTTCGTCGAGAAACAATACGCTGCCGCCGAACCTGCAGGGGATATGGAATAAAGACATTGATCCTCAATGGGGATCAAAGTACACCATCAAGTACGTACCTCTGGTTTCTTACCTCATTTTACTGCATGGCATATACTTCGAAATGCCAGACGACTGATGTTGTCACAGTATCAACTTGCAGATGAACTATTGGCCCTCCTATGTAACGAGTGAGTTCTAGTCAGTCATCCTCTCAAAGAATATGAATGACTAACAGACTGCCTCAGATCTCGTCGATCTGAACGGGCCCCTGTTCGATCTCATCGACAAGATGCTGGCGTCCGGGACCGAGACTGCGAAGAAGATGTACAACGCCCGCGGCGCGGTGGCACATCACAACACGGACCTGTGGGGAGACACGGCTCCTCAGGACAACTACATGTCCTCGACGTGGTGGCCGCTGGGGCTCGCGTGGACGGTCACGCACGTGTGGGACTACTACGAGTTCACGGGCGACGCCGAGGTGCTGAGACGGCACTACCCTGCCCTCCGGGCGGCGGCCCTGTTCCTCGTCGACTTCATGACGGACTACAAGGGGTGGAAGGTGACCAACCCTTCCATCTCGCCCGAGAACGCGTACTACCTGCCCGGCTCGTCCTCGCAGACGGCCGCCATCACGGCCGGGCCGACGATGGACAACTCGATAGCCTGGTACCTCTTCGGCATCGTGCTCGACGCGCAGCGGATCCTCGGCATCGATGACGATGCAGAGCTCTCGAAAGAAACGCTCACCAAGACGCGCGCGCAGCTCCCTCCCCTGCGCACGAACTCGAACGGCGGCATCATGGAGTGGATCGAGGACTACAGGGAGACCGAGCCGGGCCACAGGCACTGGTCCCCGCTCTTCGGGCTCTACCCGGGGAACCAGATCACGTCGGCGACCAACGCGACGACGTTCGCGGCGGCCAAGAAGACGATTAGCCGTCGGCTGGGCAACGGCGGCGGCGACACGGGCTGGTCGCGCGCGTGGGCCATCGCGCTTGCGGCGCGCACCTTCGACGCCGACACGGCGGCAAGAAGCGTCACGTACCTCCTCTCCAACCTCACGCACCCGGCCTCCCTGCTCGACGCGAACCCGCCCTCGGACTTCCAGGTCGACGGCAACTTTGGCGCCACGGCCGGCATAGCCGAGACGGTGCTGCAGAGCCACGAGTACGTTGTCGCCTCCTCTTCCTCGTCTTCGGGAAAAATCACCCCAGCGCAAGTGGGAGACGAGGGGGCTAAAGCGCCGCTTATTCGACTCTTGCCTGCGCTGCCTGCGCAGTGGGGAGCTGGTGGTGGCGGCTATGCCAAGGGTCTCCTCGCCCGTGGCGGGTTCCAGGTCGACGTCTTCTGGGACGGGCAGGCCAGGCTCGTGAACGCCACCATCACGAGCTTGTTGAAGGGCAATGGCGGCGCGTGGGTCACTCTCGGAAGCGTCCCCATAGGCGGCAATGGAACGACTCCGATCCAGGTGGTCGGCGGTGACCAGGGCCAGTTTGTGTTCCTGAAGGGCGGCGAGAAGGGGACGCAGTATCGTGTCGTTCCTAAGCGCTAGGTTAGGTTTGATAGGATAGGGTAAGGATGTATCTAGATAGTTAAAACAGATCAGGGAACGAGTGGGGAGGGCGCAAACGCGCGCTCTGAATTGGAATGGAAGTTAAGTTAAGTTACTTAATCAAGGGGCAAAAAGTTGACGATAATACAAGTATGTAGTCTAGGGTGACAAAACCTCGCTGGCTACCATAGGACTTGTACTGAATGAATCCATCACGCTGCGCTGTTAAAAAGATCCGACTGGGTTAGAATTGCATCAAGAGACTCAAGAATACTTATTTATTTACCTTGCTACTGCATGCTCTGGTAAAAAACAGAAAAGAGTGTTCTGAGCAGAACGAATGCGTGGCTTGTGTACTGCGGAGCGGCTGTATATGAAGACAAGAGCCCCCAAAAGATAAAAATTTCCTCGCATCCGAGGGACGATTGTCCCAAGGTGTGGGTGGAAAAAGATGACCTCGCTGGGGGTCGAACCCAGAATCTCCTGATTACACTACAAATCGTAGTCAGACGCCTTGCCATTGGGCCACGAGGCCATGTTCCCTGTTTGGTGATGTTTGCTTGCTCCACAAAGATATGCTATACTTGACTAGCAATTGGGCTACCCCGATCTGGTCATTGGCAAACTACCTCTATTTACTGGCAAGTTGCAACCAGGTATCAGTGAATCGACAGTAAAAAACGTTGGAAACATGGAATTGGATATATTTACACATAAAGTGTTATGTATACTGAAACCCAAGATTGAAGCTAGACTAGGGAAGAAAAAAAACTCGGAACCGCTGATCCAAGAAAAAAAATGCATAGTAGTAGTAGACTAGTACCTGCCACAGGTCTACATCCTGCGAGGAACCCATCTACAGGTAAAGAAAAGCTCGATTGACACCTTGATGCCAATGACTGCCCATCCTAGGTCAACAACAGTCTCTCGTATCGATATCGTTCATAAACACAGCCCATAAGCCCCCTACCGAACCTCAGTTACACAGCGCTGTAACCCCCACGACTTCCGCTCCCTTGGACGGTGTTTAGGACGCGCCTGACCCAGTCCCTCAACAGGTATGGAAGCTCGCGAATGGTATCGCCGTGGGGAAGCAGATCCCAGCCTCTAGCTCCGTAACGGTTGTAGTTCAGCCAGGAACCGAATACTAGATACGCTGCTATTCCGAGGAAGCCACTTTTGGTTGTTGTTAGTACCAAGCCAGTACGAGGAAATAGGCGCGTGTGTCTTGTATATAAGTACTTACAGGAGGACAATCCATGTGAATGCGCCCCAGTGCGAGCTCGCCGGCTTTTTCGGCTCTTCACCAGCATCCCCGTCGCCATTACCGTCAGACCCATCGTCTGCTTTGTTCTGGCAGACGTATTTGGTGGACCATGTCAAGTGCAGGATATCAACTTTGACGTCGCTGTCGCTCGGGCCATAGCGATCGAAGACGAGACTCGGGTCTTTCTCGAGGCCGAGTTGCACCTCCTTGGACGGCTTGTCATCGCCCTTCTCGTCGCCCTTCTCGCCGTCCTTCCCGTCCTTCTCGTCCTCTTTCTTCTCGTCGGCCCGAGCACGGAGCGACTCCGCGCCGGCCACGTATTTGTCCTCCGAGTCATACTCGCCCTCGGTGCCCTCACGATCCTTATCACAGATGAAATCAATGACCGTGCTCTGTTTCCTCCTGACTCCGGATTCGGTGGTGTTGTAGCCGCCTTTCAGGATAACCCGGAGCCCCTCCTTGCCGGAATCTAGATCGTCCTCGCTGAGTCGCGACACGCTCGGCTCGAGCTGTCCACTGCCCCAGTCGCCAGCAAGGGGCGTCGCCCTTTCGATGGTATCGCCCTTCTCTCCGGGCTTAATCAGATGTCTGATGGCGCACGCTGATGAGCAATCACCCGTTAGCCAACCAAACCCCCTTGCGCGTCTGTGAATGATTCCTCCTCCCAATCTTATCATCACTTACCCCGGGATCCCGAAGGGCACTGGTCTGATTTCTTGACATCGTTACTCCTTTTCAAGGGCTGGCAGATATCAACAGTGTATGTGGTATTATGTAAAATTTCGCCATCCACCCGAGACGTTACGACCGAGTGCGGCCCGCCTAGCTTTTCGAGGTTGTATTGTTGCCCGTCCGCTACGATATTGTTGCATCTGAACATGGCGGCAACCTGTAGAGGTGCGAGCAGAAGGGAGAAGAAAAGCGCGGCATCCGCGCTCGGTATCCTTGAGAACTTCATGGCCTCGACGGGGGAGGGGATACGCGAGGGTGGGCGTGTAATCTACGCAGGAGAGTTGTTGCGTTGTCGGATCGGGGGGTTCGGGGACGTATGCAAACTTGATACCTGACGGAGCGAGCGGGTGGGCGGGTTGCGGTAATCTGTTAGCTTGATGGGTTATGCCGTCGAGGGTTTGTTGTGCTTGGTCTCTTCGATGGAATAATGGAAGACTGCGAGTTATGTAAGACGACAAAGATGGAAAGAATAGTGAACAGTCAGTCAGGGGCTACAATACAAAGCTGGAAGACCGGCACGTCCAAACAAGCATTTGAGATTAGAAGTAACCTCGCACCATTCAAGATTGGGAGGTTAGATGACTGGTAAAGCGCGACGGTGAGGTAGTGCTCGCGATATTGCACAGCATAGGCACGCAATAGTCAAGTCAGGTTACCTAGCTAAGCAACTGCGTTGCCTGGCTTTGGCATCGTCATAATGTACAGGGGGTTGTGAAGTTCTCATTAGTCAGGGCTACTACTGTACCAGACACAGTGTATGGCACTGTACGATTGGACATTCCAGTGTTCGGGCACGTGACAAGCCCCCAGAATTTGACTTTGTAATTCTCAGTGTTGAGCAAGTAGGTTTCCTGATACGATATTTCCCGGAGTCAGGTCCTACTATCCTACCTGCCGGCGCATAGGGTAAACCATGCATTTTTCGACTGGAAGATGGAGGTTACGGCTCCTGGCATGTCGCGTCACGTCCGCATTTGTTTCCCTTCCACACGGTGGGAAGTAGCTCTGACCTCGAGTCTTCGGAGCAGTTGTTTGCTGGAGTTTTCTCTTCAAGAAAAAAAGAAGTTCTCCAGCACCCGCAGCCTCAATCTCGATCAGCGCAGCCCAAACCATCTTTCCCTACACCTCGTCGTACTGCTGAAACATGTACCCGGCGTTGACAGTGTGTGGGAAAGTGATTGCTGGCGCCGAGACGGTTTTTTCCGGAACATGGATCCTGACGTGGCCAACATGGCCGTCTTGGTAGCTCTCATACGTTTCAGATGCTTGGCCCTCTTCAGTTTGTCCAGTCTGACCTGGTAACCATGTAACTCTCGTGAGATCCCAACTTGACGAGGCTTGCCAGTCAGTAGCTCTACGGCAACATCTTAATAGTCCAACATCACCTTTTCAGTGCTCTGCATGAAGGTCCTTGTCATGACAACTTAAATCTCTTCTATATGAGGGATACCCAGCTAGGCATCGTTGTTGATTGTATTTGGGCATGCATGGCTACAGGAGAATGTGATTTCAAGCGGGAGACAGGATATGAGTGCGATCAAGAGAGGCCGGCAAGGCATGCATCGTCGAAATGCCTCATCAGTCAGTACCTGACTTGAGGCTGAGAAGACGTGGTGGGGCATGGACAGCATTGCGTTAAAACCGTGCCTCCTTGAGCTGAGTCTACGAGACTAGAAGAGTCCAGACCCCAAACATCAGCTAACCGAGGCGAAGGAGCCAAGGTTACAGCTGTGCAATAGCAGACCCACGATCAGATGATGTCTGAACTTGAAGACCAGCTTCTCTTCGGGGCACTTGCAATGACGGAACGAGCAACATGGGTTCAGCCGGGCGTGCGTGGGCTTGGGGCCGGATTACTTAAAGCTGCGGGTTGGGTCAGCAACGTCGTCAAGCGGCAGTTACGGTTTTCGGACATTGTTTTTCCTCTTGTGGCATTATTAACCGGTGTCTTTTTTTCTTTTCTTCTCACCTACCGCCATGTCTGGAGAGTTTGCGGCCGCGCACCGGCAGGCCTTGCAGCTCCTGGCCGAAGAGGAAAATGCTCGCACCTTGACTGTGGCCTCAACCATTCAAGATATGAAAGCCAGCGTGTTCTTTAGACAAAACTGGGATGAACTGCTCCTCGCAACGCCCAACTGCCTGGAGCTCCTTGGAATCATCAACGCTGCCGGGTCTACCAGGCTGGCCAGGGCGACGCCGCTGCGAGCGTCCGACGACGGCGGATTCGCGTATATCGTGAACTACGGCAACCTCCAAAGTGGCCTTTCGCAGCTTACGAGCCAGGCTGCAAAGTCCTTCGTGTCGGCCCGCTCCAACATCCAACACATTCACGCAATGTCGCGTTCTGCAAAGGAAGAGCTCGAGGGGATGGTCTCTACCCTTAGCATCCCTCGCACTCACATGACTCCAGTGCTGGAACATATGAGCTCCCTAAAGAGGAACGCCGACGACTGCTACGACGCAGCGTGCGATATGCAGGAAACCATCACCAACTGGTCAAATATGTGTATGGAACTACACGGCGCTTGCTCAGGCAGATCTGCGAAGACGGCACCAGAGGCCGTCAAGACTCTAACCGTCCTAGAACTTGCACGGGTGACGAAAGATACCTGCGTAGAACAGGAGACAAAAGCCAAGGATAGACTCACCGAGATGGACAAGCAGGTTGCAGAAGCTAGAGACCTGTATAAGAATGCCCTCAATGCTATGCCTGGCGGGTAAGTGCTGGAGTGTCAGACCTCAGACGAATGGCCGACGAAACTAAGCCCGGATTTTACAGCATCGGTCTTGTCGGCCAGCGAGTGCTTAGGGGTCTCGGCGAATCGGTCAGTAGCTGTTTGCAGATTGGCACCGCCGCAGCTGCAGCATCCGTCAGCCCCGTTGAGGGTGCGATTGCAGGGACGTGCGCGCTGAAGGCAGAGGTGGACCGATATGCCCCGGCTCTAAACCGAGATTCAGGAGCGGGAGCCAAGGTGAAACAACCGGCAGATAAGAGCACGCCGCCAAAAGAGACAGACACCAAGACAGCCAGTCGGGCTGCCGCCAGTGCGAGGAGATCAGCTCTCCTGTCGAAGCTTACCACGGCATTTGCGTGTCACCCCACTGCGGACGCTTCGAAGAACTACGGCACTTACGATCTCAATGGCAGGTACATGGCCGATGACAGAGCACTCTCCATTACGCCAGCCATCCGGGCCTTGATTGAAGAAACCAAGCAGATCGTCGTGGGTTATGCGGAGGGAATTAACTGGGACGCTGTCCTTAAGCCTACCGGTCCTGCCAGGGGCACAATCAGTGAACTGGCCCAGGTCAGCTACACACTCAATAGGCTTCTCGAGGACTTCCGCCCCGCCGAGGGTGGCCTCGTTTCGCAACTTGCTGTAGCCATCATGACGGAGGCGATCGCAGTGGCGGGTGACCTCGAAGCCGAAGCCGTCAAGGGTGCCGGCCTAAGCAATTGGGCTGAGCCTGACCGGACGTCGGACTTCTTTATGGACTTGGAGTCACGCATTGCTCGGTGCTCTTCGGCGGCCCTG